TCTCTTCGTCCGTCACAACACCCACACTCAAAGCGATGACAATCCACGTTATTATTGCCGTGCTGAACATTTCATCTCATGGGTCAGTTCGCGGATATGTTGAAGGAGAAATGCTTGGCCAATCCATGTATTATCCACGCATGTCAGCACCTAGAACATAACTTTACATCGAGCATCGTAGCACTCAGAAAAGAGATTTCGAGGACTTTATCGCACGTCTCTCCCGATAAACACGACGTTATTCCTTTCATCTATCACGGCCATTGCCCGTTTTCAAGGCGTATACTTATCGACTTGCATCTTATCTCAGAGGAATTGTTTTATCGCTACCACACGGTCGTAAATATAAATATATATATATATATATATATATATATATATATATATATTATCACTATGTTTAACTGATAAGGTGCGGTAATGTTTTTATATTAGAGACAATGGGAGAAAATTTTCGTTTTATTTAGCCACAAAAATTATGCATACGCATGTTTACGAACTTATTGACATTTTCTGTTATTTTACTTTCTGAAGTTAATCCTCTAACCAACAGGAAACTTTTCAGTCAAATCTTCTATATGATAGAAAATAATATGAATAAGCCGTTTTTTTAATTATTTCACAATTACGTTAAAAAAAAAAAAAAAAAAACTATTGAAATTCATTTTTTTTTTTTTTTGCTTACTATTTTTACTTTTATAAGCTTATGCTATTTGTATAAAACAAGACAATTGCACAATTACATAAAATGTTTGCTTGAAAAACATCTTCAGTACTGCAGTCCGATAGTATATTATCTATAAGAACAATGTAATAAACATGAATTGTAAAAAATTAACCATTTAATAATAAATAACATAATAACAAAAATCATAATAAACTTTATTAAACAGACAAAAATATTTTTTTTTCAATTTTTTTGTTTAATATATAAAAATACATATCTATTAATAACTGTTAATATTATCATACTATATATTTAATCTATTGTTCATACATTTTATACACACAAATTTGTTTATAAAACATTATTTAAATATTAAGAGTAAATTACTTACTTATTATAAGAAATTATTAGTAATGCGGCTAAAATTTACAGAAAATAAATTCTACTATCCGAATTATCACAACATTACAAATATTATAATAATTCAATAATAAATTATCTGAAATTTATCGAATTAGAAAATTATGTACACAATAGTATGTAAATATCTAAAGTTATATTTGTTTTTTATCATCATTTTTTATTGTTTGAACGTATAGTTGAAAATTTTTATGTTTTTATGTTTATCGTGAACCGTTTTTATTTACTGTCGATAGATAAATTCTTAAATACTAAATACTAAGAGATTAATTACTAGGATATAATTTTATTTATGTATGTGTAATTTTATTCTCCTTATTATATTCTTATTATACTGATTTATACACAAATTTATATATAAAATAAGTATCGAAAATGTTTTTTTTTTTGTTTTTTTTTTATATTTTACAAATAATTTATGTTTATTCTGGTATTAGTACTAACAATAATACAATATATATTAATAAACAATGAAGAAAACAACTGTTTAACGTTACTAATTATAAATATTTATTTCAAAACCAGTACATAGAAGTTTTTATTAATTTTTTATAAATATTAAAATGAAATTTTTTTATATATAATTATTTGTATAATTCGTTTCACCACAACTAGCATTATTTCTACGAAAGTTCGACAAAGTACAAACCGTAAAAATTATTTACATAATAAATGAAATTTACAAAATTTACATTAGTGGTCGTTATATGATTATAATTATGCATTCAATATACATGTACAATAATTATATAGCAATCAACAATAGTAATCATTATATTTAATAGTTCGATTTCTTACATATCAAAAAATGTTTGAACTATTATTTTAGTCAACTGTTATTCCATATTTGCTCTCTATTAGACAATACAAATAAATAATGGCAAATAATCACATATAAACCACCTGTCTATTTAAATCGTAACAACAAGCTTGAACAAAATAAAAATTTCATTACTTGCACTTGTTCGTTACACGGCATTGATAAAATTATGATTTTCTAGAGATACGCGTAGCAAATCATAAGCTAATAAAATATCTAAAAAAATGTGAACTTAATAGTAAATATTATGATTTGTGTTGAAAAGAATACAATTTTGAATAACGTTTTATGTTTAAAAATATATAATATTTAAAAACATTATATCAATCACTGACTTTTGATATGAAAGTGTCGTGGAATATAATCGATGAAAAGGAATTTCTGAAAAAAATACTTCAAACATAAGCTTTAAAATTTGCATAAATTCTTCACTCATAGTATGTCAGCTTAGTATCCTTCAAATATTACGCTGTGATCTATAAAACTTTATAAACAAAAGTTTTAAGATGTTAATTTAATTCTAAAATCACAAAAATTCGAGGATACTAAAGAATTTTAAACATCAATGAATTGGAATTAATATATGCAAATTTAAGCATTAAACTGTTGGTGATTGTTGATAAATACTTGATTTGAAAGAATATTAAATCAGTTGAAATACATGACTTTAAATTCATGTACTTCAATGAGGGTTAGAAAAAAAATTTGTCTTAAAAGAATCGCTAAGCATCATCGGCTAATTAAGTATAAATACTATAAATCACAAAAGCAACGGCTAATTACGATTAAAGCAATATTACAAATTATATAACAAACGGATAAAATTACATTTGCCGAAAATTACAACTATCATAATAGATACTAGAAGATGCCAAAAATCTATCCAAAAATATCATTAATCAATAATTTTATAATAAATTGTTTATTGAAATAGATTGTTTTGGCTAGGAAAAATGATTTAATGATACTGAATGATAATCTAATGATAGGCAAATTGTATATATTAATTCTAAAATCCAATTTCTATGAAAGAATGGAATAAAAAATTTATTATAATAAAACACATGAACTAATTATTACATTATTTTAATTAAGATAGTACTGAAAATTTTTGTTTAAAATAAACTAAATAATTCGTGTTCTATTGTAAATTATGCTGTATAATTATTTTGTATCATAATTCACCATTTACAATTGCATTTGCATATATTAAACAGATCGATTTTTATTAAGAGTTATTTGTAAATTCACTAATTGGATTGATATTTGTTGTTTTAAAATTTGAATACTGTACTATGTTAGCGCAATTCTTCCTAATAATTTATAAAAATTCAACGCGCAGAGATAAAAAGATATTAATAGGTCATTCAGCTATTAGCATAATACTTCAACATTTCCTTCACGGTTATCGAACTATTTGGAAAAAAATAATACTTTATTAACTAAAATTGTCCCTCGTAAAATTTTCATACGCATGTAAGATAAATCGAGCAAATGTACATAACAATAAATAAGTCAAAATCTATTATGTATAAATTAAAATAAATTAACTAAATTCATATATCCAAATGAATTCATATTAAATTACATATTTTTATATTTATAAAAAAAATAAAAAAATAATAATAATCAACCTTATTTATAGTTGTAATGAAATGGTGAAAAATCTTTAACTTAAAATATGTGTACAGATTTTTTAAAAATTGTTAAAAAATTTAATTATTATTTTCCTACTATCAATGTTTTTTGTTGTTGTTTTTTTTTCTTTTTTTTTTGTTGTTGTTTTTTTTTTTTTTTTTTTTTTTTTTTTTTTTTTTTTTTTTTTTTAATGGATGACTGCATTATTTGTATAGTTATCGTTATTATTGTTATCGTTGGTGTTATTGCTAATTGCTTTTAATAATGTACCCGATTTCTGATTAATCATAGCTCATACAGGGATACATAAGAATTATAAATATTTTTAAAAACTGCAAAATATTCTTATATATCAAAATACATGTGCAATAATCTGGCAATGAGCCGAGGAGAGTTTTTTTTTGTTCTTTTTTTTTTTGTTTTTGTTTTTGTTTTTTGTTTTTTTTTACAATAAATTTACCTATTCGTAACGTTCTTTGCTGTGTCTTTGAGAACTTGGGACAAGCATAATGGACAAAGTGTTTCGGGTTTATTTGTTTGGCTTAAGACTGAACCAAGAAATTGTGCGGTCGAGGGTAGTGGTGATCGAAGTGTGAGGAGTTCAGCTTCCATTCTCGGTATTGCTTCAGACTGGTAAGCGGACATAAGAAATTGATGACCGCACGTAAATATCATCGAGTCCTCGTCAGCTGTGAATAATTCTGACACTACTTCTGGATCCTATTATGCATTTGATAATAAAATTAGCCGCAATATTCTCATATCCATTCAATTCATTTAATCGAATCAAAATTAAAAAAAAATATATATATATATATATATATATATATATATATATATATATATATATATCTTTAATAAAAACGAATACGTAAGCGCAGGAGCGCGCACATGCACATAATACCTTAATGTGTATAAAAGGTCGTGGATCGTAATACTTTGCAGCCAGTGTACTTATTATTCCATCGATCATTTGCTCGGGTGTTTTATTTTCACTAGTTCCAGGATATCCGGTAAGTGGTGGGCCGTAATTATTTGCCATTGACATTGATAATAATTCTATATATTCTATAGTTGGTTTTCCTAAAAAATGCAATAAGCATTTTTGTTAGTATATTATACTTAATATTTTACTTAAACAAAGTACGGCAAATAGTAAATAAATACACACCTTCCTCGATATGCTCCATAATCAAGGAACAAACTTTCAAGCAGAATTCGGTGGAAAGAATTTTCTCAACATTTTTAAAGCGGATGTTTTTACCATTTTTTTCAGATTTCGAACACTTTCTTGAATCGCTAAAAAAAATATATGAAATTATTTTTTATTTTTTTTTTTTTTTTTTTTTTTTTTTTTTTTTGCCATTAATAAAGATAGATAAATGTTTCAATATATATCAAAAAAAAAAAAAAAAAAAAAAAATTTTTAAATGTAAAAATTACCTAAAAAGTAGTAGACCCAAGGAATAAAATATTTTCTTCATATACTTATAAAATACTTTTTCTAATTCTTCTATAGGAAATTTATTTTCTAACCAAAAATTAACACAGATCGCCGACATTTCATAGACGGGAACATAAGCGTCCTCTTCAATTTCATATAAATAAAAGTCAACAATATTTACAGCCTGCTGCATCATAATTAACTCTTGATTATTTAACGTAAACCCTTTGGCACGTTTGCTATTTGCTGTCGAAGATTGATTAAAATCTAATGCATTGTAATTCGTAAGTAAGGAATTATCATTATACGTGTCCTCTTGAGATATACTATTTTCTAAACTCGATAATGGACTCTCCCTATTCTCTTTATTATTATTTTGTAAGGTTTCTTGTGCAGTCATATCCAACGACATATTCTCGTACTTACAATCATCAAAAAGATCTTCAGAACCACCTTGGCAATCAAACGTATGTAGCTCCTGTTCAATTGTTTGAAAGCTGTCCAAAGACTTACTTCCAGGCATTTTTATCTTCTGCTTTTCCACACTTTCTATCATGGTATCTACGAGGTTTTGTTCCACATGCTTTTCGAAAAGTTTACTGTTCTCCTGAAGAATACTATTATTGTCTTTTAAATTTTCAGATGAATTTTCCGCATAAGAATTTACATTGGAGGAAGATTCTAAGCTCGTTAAATCGCATTCCTTCAAAGCTTTAAATTGATAAGTCAGAGCCTCCACAAAATTATGCTCCAATAATTCAATTTTTGCACATGCTTGATAATTCTTTACTTCAATGCACTGTAAACAATAAAAGAATTATTATATTAAATTGTATTGAGTATTTTATGGATATTATTTTGCTACTCCTATGACAACGTCAAGCAATATTTTACATTTACCAATGCATTAAAATTATATTTTAAAAGACTTTTTTTAAGTACAATCAATATTTATTCGATAGATTATTAAAGATCCATGCTTGGCATAATAATGATAAAAATCACACGGTTACATACATTCAATTCATATCTTTACTTGCAATGGTAATATTTATCAGTAATTAAGCTTAGAAATAAGCTATTAAAAAGCTTATACTTATAAATACGTAATCGAGAAATACTTAATCAAATTGATATTTCCAAACCTTGTTAAGAATTTTAAAGCTGCCGTAAAGTCCGTGAAATTGTTCTAATGCATAATGTAAAGTTAAGTCGCTCAAATTGTGTTCAATATTAATGAGAGGTCGTATTGAGCCAGCAAGTGGAGTCACGTCGTAACTTTGATAAGAAATTGTTGGCGAGGGAATATTTGGAACTTGATTAGGCATCGATTCTGTAACTTTATCCAACCTATCGAATCTGGTTATGTTACGAAAAGTACGTTTTGACGACTGAAATGCCATATTCATCCTATCTTCCGATTGTTTCAGCTTGTCCGGTGTTCGGCCCAATTGCATTAGATTATTATTTCCCCAAGACAGCACATTTCCACCTGAAATTAAGATTTTGGTAAGAGATCGAGTGAAATGAAATATTTGAGACTCTTCGCTAATTGCAACACAACTTTAATAGTTAAGAGTTAAGCAAGTAAAAGTACATTTTAAAAAGCCCTTTAAAACTTTCACTATGCGTCTGTGAATATTACAATTTTACAATTTTTTCAATTTTACAATACCTGGTTGAATAGCAACCGTAAAGTTGCTTCCACAGCAAATCTTCACAGCCTGTTTGAAATAATTAAAATCCTTCTGACTAGCATCGAAATCTACGTTTACGTCCGAGATCGTCTCGCTATTGGCATTGTACTTATCACTATTAGGTGCTATCGTCTGATTATTGGCTTGTTCACTATTCTCTTTTGATTGTTCTACGCGATAGGCATTGAAACACATCTGCGTGGGAATTTCGACATCGCGCTTGAATCCTGTGCCAAGTTGACCATCCACGTTCCGACCCCACGTGTAGATTCTACCGTCTTTCGTTAAAAGTGCTGAGTGACAGTAGCCCGTCGATATCTAATGGAAAATTAAAAATTAGGTTTTTATTATCGCTCGCTACGAACATTATATACATATATATATATATATATACAAATTCTTACAAATATCTAATAAGATATACATGAACGTTGCTCTTACAATGCACATTCGAAATTAAAATAGTTCATACGTGGTTAGTAAATAAACTATAAAATACAAACATATGGAAACATCAATTTCTAATTTTACATCATTTACCATACGACTATAATTAATTACATGCGCATAATAACACCACTAGAATAATTGCTCTCGTTGCTAATATAATAATTTTGACACTTGAACTGGGATTCATTTTGGAAACGATTAACAGTTAAATAATATTTTACAAAGTAAAAAAACCGTACATCTCTCCAAAGCTTTATAATTATAATGTAATTAAAAATAAAATTGAAATTAAATAGAAATCGGTACGAAACTTTCTTATTGTATACTTGCATAGCTATATAGTTTGCGGTCAAACTATATTTGAAGTCTTGAGATGTAATGTTTGTATTTGAAGAAAAAAATAATTCAGTTTTATTCATTATTAGCAATGAGCTAATAAATAAATAAATGCAATTTTTCTATTAAGATATTCGAGAACAAACTATTTTCACCGTACCTGAATAATTTTTCCGTAAATAAACTTCATGTCAATGAATCCGGGTATCATATGATCGTGAAGTCCCGAGATATTTTCCGCTTCGGAAGTGTTGGAAGCTGCCGTAACCTTGTCATTGATGCTCAAAGTGTCATTTGATTCTCCGCCATTGTCAATATTATCTTGCTCCTCGATTATTTCCTCGTTATTAGTGGAGCTATCTTTCTTTAACGTTTCCTCGACCGTCGATTTTGCTTGCTGCTCTTTAATCTTTCGTTCTCTCCTATTTATCTTCAGAATTTGAGGGTTCGCACCCCAAACGTAAAGCTGATTTGTGGAACTCACGGCGAGCTGCGAAATTAAATCTTTAGCTATTTCCATTGCAATATATAAAAAGTTTTGGTTATTCGTATAAAACGTTCACCCCGTACCTCGAAACTTTTAATATGCTCCGATTATTTTTTCAAAATCAAACATCGATTGACAGTTAAAAAATTACGTCAATACAATTATAATTTTGACATTAGAAATTTCGTCTCTACTCGTCATATAAACATTCTCGAGTAGACAATTGGCTGAGCCTAAATATTTAACGGTCGAACGTTGATTAAAATTTTAATTATCCGCCAGCCATCTGGCCAAGTATTATTCAGCTTCCCTAAGCACATTACTAATATCTAATAAAACCTCCTATTTAATAAATCTCTCGGATCTAATAAATCCGATGAATTAGGTCAAGAAGCATTTTTTTGTACAACGGACTAGCCACGATCGATACGCAAGATATCCACGATCGAACGTAAAAAAAAAAATCAATTAAAATTGCACGAATAGGGAGGGGAATATAGTTGCCAGGTGCCAGTCAACGAAGAAATGAAAGTCACTGTAAACTCACGTTATGAAAGTACTTGGTTGATATAAGAGTGATCTTCTCGGGCAGCAGGCTGACCTTGACCGGGATCGTGCACTTGGTAGCGCTCGGATTGCCAAGCTGGCCGAAGAGGTTGCAGCCGAATGCGTAGACGTAGCCGTCGGCGGTAAGGACGACGGTGTGAGCGTAACCGACGCTCGCATGCCGTACCGGGAGTCCGAGGAGGCCTTCGACGAGACTCGGCACGCGCATGTTCTCCGTGTTACCATGGCCCAATTGCCCGTGGACGCCCCAGCCCCAGGTGAAGAGACGCCCGTCCGCAGTCACCGCCGCCGAATGGTGCACACCTAGATAACAACGTCGATGAGCCTTCCATCCAAGAGAATCAATAGTCGGTCGTATTGTTTTTAATTACTACCACTACTTCGGTAGCCACACTACCGAAATGATGCTGACAACTTAATAATAATAAATAGCGAGTTATATCGTTAAGTGACATAATACGCTTTTTTTATGAAGGCTTAAAGTTGCTCAATTAATGACATTAATTACTTTTAAATTACGTAAATTCTTTTTCAAAATGCTTCTAAAAGTGTCAAACAGTTTTAAACTGCTACTCAAATCATTTTTCCATGAATAAATAAATTTCTCCTAGAATTACTCTCGTACGCATTCGTAAGCATTGCGTACATTCGCATGTATGGAAAATTTCGCTTCAATTGCAAAAGGGATGATTTTGTTAATTTAAGCATACGTAAGGTTCATTAAATTATTCTCAAAATCTTAATAAACGCTCAAAAAGAAATTCACCCGCTATGGCCTCGACGATGATCTCTTGAGCGAGCGATGTTATCAATTCTGGATTGGGGCACTGGTATATATTACCAAGGCCTAATTGACCGAACTTATTGCCTCCCCAAGCGTATACGCCATTATTTGTGACGGCAAGGGTGTGACAGCGGCCGCAAGAGACCGACAGTACCTCGATACCTAGGCGACGGAAAATGAAGATACCCTGCGGCAGACTACTCGGCAACATCGTTGGGCCAGTTCCTTCACGTTCAGTAAACAATAACAATGACAAATAAGAACAACTCGATGAATTAACTATCTATTAGTTTACTTATTAATCGATATAATTTATCAATTGATCGTAATGATTTAGAGTGGCTGAATTATTGAAAATTTAATTTAATATCAATCACTTATAATAATAGCAAATAGAATACTTATAATAAAAGTATTGATCTTTTTTTAATATCAACGTCTAATTTTGTGAAATCAACATTGCTGTTTTATGTTTAAGTCAACGAAATTCGAAATGCACTGTACATAGGAATTAATAAGATTTCAGAAATAATTAGCTAAGTGCTTCTTACCCAATAAATATAAATGTGTCGATTATATATTATATTATAATTAAATTAAATGAATTTAAAATAAGGAGGCATGTTATGTATTATATAATTGGTAAAAAAAAAAAAAAAAAAAAAAAAAAAAAAATTAACGAAAAATCTATGTCGATCACCGTTCTTTACAAACTATCATAATGATATAACTCACCTAAGCATCCTTGCAGAGTATTTCCCCATGTATAAACATTACCATTTCTTATTAAAGCTGTATGAGCAAATCCTGTGCTTAATAAGCGCCTTTTAAAATCTACGCTAACATTTTTTCCCTTTCGATCCTTTTCGATAAAAAAAAAAAAAAAAAAAAAAAAAAAAAAAAAAAATAAGCATCAAATTAGAAATTATGATAATCATTTTCTATTTAAACTAAAATTCTGTAAAATTCATTATTACCCCTTCGATATCAGGTAATTGCGTAAATGGCACATTCTTTGCGAGAAATTTCATACTGAGCTGCTTCTTATGGAGTAGAGTAAGAAGAGTTTGTAAAAATATATCTATTATTTCTTCTATAAGTACGCCAACTTCATCCTAAAATGGATCATACAGGCACTTAATTAATATCTAAATTATATATATTATAACTGCTATTCTTACCAAATCTTCGGATAAATCTAATGAATCACATTGACTGGAGAATGAACTGCGAGAAGCAGCTCTTCGTCGAGCCTTGAAACGTAAAAGTAATGGCCTTATGGCAGCATTCGTCGGATCAAACAGTGTAATTAACCTCTGAATAATATTAAAAATTATATATAATTTATGCAAATTAATTAAAAATATTTTTATTTTTTCGAAGATAAATGTATTTATTATTCTTATGTGACATTTGGCTTTAAAAAATATTGCAAATAATTAACAATAATCCAATTCACCATAAATATGTATAAATTTAATGAAATATTACATGTATATATTAGTAAGAAAGGAATTTAAAATCAAATTAAAAAGATTGATGAACAATTGTTTGCAAAATGTTTGCTAATGTAAGTACCTGTAAGATAAATATTTGAAGAGTTGGTAAATTTGCTAATATAAAACAAATGTGATTTCTAGCGGTACTGGGATTATTCAGCATACCTTGAATTAAACTGGAATCGCTTAAGCACATTAACAAACCATCTACAATAAAGCAGAGATAGAGATAAAGTAATAATAAGCGCTGCGATTTTTATTTTCATAATAATTGCCTCGCAAGGTTACTTACTTAAATTTTTATGCAAATCAAGATTCGAATTTTCCAACATAAAGGCTGGTAAAGCTTTGACGAGAATTTCAAGCACCTGACAACTCAAGCCTCTATAAACCATTAAGTGATGTAATATATTCCACATTTTATTTTGTGCCGCAGTATGTATAACAAATAATTCATCATAATAAGTGTTTGTCGATAAGAAGTTTCTAAACAATCAATTTTAGTAAATATTACTAAAACACAGATTTTAATCACAATTTGTGCCTAAGATAGCCAATACTCACAAGAAGTCCTTATAAATTCTTTTACTTTGTGCAGAAGTTGCTCGTAGTGCAAGCTCAGTGAACGCAAGAACGCTTAAATCTGAAAAGTTTATTCTATTTTGTTGCGATAAGTCAATACTTGCAGGAGTAGTAGAATATGATAAAAGATAAGTTAAGAACTCGGAGGTAAATCCAAGCGATGCAAATTTTAATATAGTTTTTAACAGAAAGCACTAGAAGGGTATAATTATTATTTTATTATTATCTGTTATTATATGCTCTATCGTAAATTATAAATAATATATATTTATTCACTTTAGCAATTGAATACAATTCCATGGCTCTACCAAACTGTCGATTGCACAATATTATGTCTCCGGCATATTCAATCAATTGTTGCACGTTCAATCCAAATATCATTCCGAGTTTCGTAGCATCTTCAATCGCTCGTCGTCTCAATATTAAATCCATAAAAAGCGATAAAATATGTTCCCTGCTAAGAACAAAAGAGTTTAATTAATTAACAAATTTTATCGAACTTTTAACTAGCATTATTTTATAAATGAATAACAATTACAACAATAATTATTAATAGAGAGATAAAAATAAAATAAAAAAATCAAAACATCGGTAAATATAATACATAAATAGAAAATTGTAATTATAAATTAATTATTTTCCAATGATAATATTTTAAAAAGTACATAAACTTTATACAATAAATTCGGTATTAAAAATTCTTGAGCTCCGGAATCAGGAGCATTTTTTTACCAATTAAAACCAAATATTCTTAAATGAAAACCGAAGTCTTAATTTTTTATATTTTATCTATTTTTAGATTTTATAATTTTATTTTATTGCAGAAATAAGTAGATAATTGTTTCTTTTTTTTTTTTTCAACTTAATAATTCAAGTTAATAAATTGAATTTTTTTAACCTTAATACAATTCTATAGATGCCAAGGTTCGTAACTACTATACAAGTATCCACTGGAGGTATTTTCACTTTGAGATCATTTATGTTCTTTGCCATATGGTACGTTTTATCCTCTTCATTTTTTGAAATACAATCATCATCCGTTCTCGTGCTAGATACTGTGTAAATACTATTAATAACTTCATCACTATTATTAAAGGAAAATCGAGCTACAATCGATTCTTTGTAAAGATCGGATTCATCATTTTCTCTAATTTCCGATAGTGGACGAGAAACTATATAAATGAACCGATGCCTCGTATCAGATATGTAAAAAAATCTATTTGTCAATAATATGCTTTCACAATGCTCGGGTATTTTATGAACATGACATGGAGGCGATGACAATTTACATTTATGAATCTGAAAGCAAACGTAAATAAAGGAAAAATTAAATTTTCAGTGACAAATATTTACAAATTAAATAAAGCATTGATCGAGCATTTGTATGTACTATAATAATTAAATGATGTTTAATTTAATTCTAATCTTATAAATTATATATATATAATTTGAACTATTGTAATTTCAAAACTTTCTTCACTCTTTAATTATAATATAAATATAAAAAAAATTTTATTTACAGTCAAATAATTTATAGAAGGAAGATATCGTGTATAAATTGTTTTGCTATTATCCACTCGCTGAGCAGTAATATAAGCTTGATTGGGCAAAGCAATGGGAACAGTGCTGTTTTTAACTGGCTCGGACTGTTGGTTGAAAAATAGACCTTTCCCGTTAGAATTTTCATTGTCATTAGATCCAACATCACAATTATTGCTATTCTCTAAAAAGTATTAATGAAATTGTATTGAAAATTGGCAAACGCAATAAGTAATATAGATATTATATAAAATAGTTATACATTATATTAATAATTTGTTAATATTATCTTGAACATAATAATTTATACGAGAAGATATATTATAATATACCTAAATTTGCTGTAGAAGGCTCAAAATTACGATTTCTTGATTCGGCAAGTTTTTGCTTTAAAATAACGAGTTTTTCAACTGATAATTGTTTGAGACCACGTAATCTTGATCTTGTAGTTGGAAATGTTTTAGCTTCATCGTTATCTGCTTCAAAATGTCGCACTTTGGATTGATGTAATGAAACATCACTTAAAGGATAAATATAATTACTACCTGGTTTTTCTAAAACTAGATACCACTGTTCCTTACAATTATTTGTTATTAATAATGTCACGGTATCGAGCTCCGTATCTTGGCAAATAAAAAAACTAGCGATACATCCATCAATTTTGGTAGAACCAACTTGTTGTCCAGTTTCTAAATTCACAAAAATTATTTCTCCTTGTTCAGTACCAATAATGCCTATCTCACCGCAAAAGGATACACCTCGCCACCATATTATTGTGCTTGGTCTGAAAATTTAACGTACGCAATAAGTCATTGACATTGACATAATATTTTTTATTAAAAAGACAACAGAGTAATAATGAGCAGAAACTAAATATATCATTTGAAAAAAAGACGCAAGTTTTTTTGGATAACAAACTACAATATAACTGACATAATATATGGATAATTATGAATTTAATATAAAATCAAGATGGATTAATTTATAAATTATTTTGTATATATTATTGTGAATTAATATTACTAATAATTGTATGTTGAAAAATTCTAAAAGCAATGATTGGAATACCTAGCAAACGAGTTTTGAGCATTCAAGGAAGAATAAGTGGTTATATCTTTCGTTGTCCATTTTTGATCACTTGGATAAACTTCATTGATTAGCGTTTTAGCTGGAATGATATAAAATGAGCCATCGATGCTTGCTATAAGTAACCAAGAGCCAAGTGGATCGAAACATAGACACGCTATTTTCTTTCTAGAGTTTTGAAACCATGGAATTTTTTTAATTACTGGCAAGGATAATGAGTCTCTCAAATAATACAGTCCAAGATCGGACGAATCGCATGCAAAAGCCAAGAACCGTTTATGATAAATTTCACATTGGGTAGCATGATGAATATTGTTTGCTTTTATAAGACACTTGAGTTCAAACAGACATTCTTGGCTCAAATCTACTGTACTTTGCTTAAACATCAGTTTCACCTGTGCCATTGCATCCTTCTTAACCTAAATAACATAACATTAAACAAATAAAAAAAATCAATATCCTAAATTTGTACACATTATTAAAACATATTAGATTAAAATTATTGGAAATGTACGTTTATATATTACTTTTATTATTTCTTAATTTTTGTTTTTCTTTTTTTTTTCTTTTTTTTTTTTTTAAGAATCATCCGTTAAATATTATTAAATACTACGATACAATTCAATTATTCGTAAAATCTTGATTATAAATTATTATATTAAATACGAATACTACTATAGCTTAGCGTTAGAATTAGTTTTAAATTCTTGTTTATACTCTACTTGCTTTCAATGTCATAAAATTTTATTGGTAGAAATTTCTCGGAGATTCTTAAACTATGGACATTTTACAGTCTAACTCAATCAACGAACAAATAAATTTAAGACAACTAATAAGACGCAACAGTGTGTTGAATAAATACGTAGTAATAAATATACACCAACCTTCTACAAGCCTTGCGATATGCAAATTTTGACATTTTAGCCAAAAATATCCCGATTATATTTATCGCTGTTTCCATATTTCAACACATTATCGTTACACATCGTTCAAAATAAGCAAAAATTTACTGTTAACTCTAAATAAATTAAAAGTTTCAAAAGCTAATCCGCGCGAAAAGACAATTGAGAAGAAATATAATGCCTAGGTTATAGTACCAAATCACAATCATACAGACTTTAATTTGTGTATTTCTCTGTCCCTTTAATGCCCGGGGCTAATGTCGAATGATCGCTGTTTTTTCCTTTAAAAAGATTAATCGATAAGATGCTTTAGATAATAAGTATAGATGAATAGATTATCTAATAAATAAAACTATACTAACTACATAGATTAGATAAGGAATAAAATCAAGCTGTCTTTATCTTTTATTATATGCATGCACACACGTATGCATACGCCCGCAAGTATGCGTACATATATATATATATATATATATATATATATGCACACGTGTGTATAAAACACATCTAAAAATCGTGCATAAAATATTATAATTTATTGGTTACAAAAATCATTTAATATTTGAAGCAGTGAAACATAATATAATTTTAATAGTTGTCGGTGATGATAAAAAGTACAAATAGTTAGATTTAACGAAGGTTTTCTTTTTTTTCTTTTTCTTTTTTTTTCCTCTTTTTTTTTCTTTTTTACTAAAACTTTAAATATATAAATGTATTGATTAAAATATAAAATGAAAAGTACGATAAAAATGATAAAATTATCTATTCCAAAGCCATATATGTATATACAATAGTTTATAAATCATTTTTGAAAATAATCATTAAAATACATCTACCAAATTTTATAATGTATATATACACATATGCATATACATATTCATAAACGCACACGCGCGCACACATATATATGCATGTATATTAATGCATGCATGCATACATGCGTACCAAGGTTCATTCGCTATTGGAAAATATATTTCACACTACATACATTAGAATGTATAAAAGATAAAAAAGATATAAGATGAAATTTTCAAATAACTCTAAAGTTTGAAAAAGTAACGACAGTGCGCAGCAGCATCGTCGCAGTTACTTTGAGGTTAGTGACGCATTTCTCGTCGAAGCTTAGTGCGCCGTGTTCCTCCATACATCACTGCACAAAAATGATCGTTTCCTTGCGTTGTATGGTACTGTGATATAAATTTGTAAATTCTAATAAGAATACGAATTTCATAGCTTGGCGTTTTAGTTTCGTTTGTCAGTTATCCGATCAAGAAGCTAATCGCTTCGATGATTATTGTTCGCAAGACTTTATCATTCGCAAAGAAAAGCGCGTGACAATCTGCGTGAAAAAGCAAACAAGTGCGACAAGCTAACGGGCGCGCGTGTATAATTTTATTCGCTGGCGTTGTGTATAAATAATGCTTGGCGTCTACGAGGAAGTCGCACGACAAACTTGCGGTATGCACAAATTTTTAGAAAAAAAACGTATTGGTGTCGAGTAATAGTCTAGTACGACATTACTTACGGACTTTATGCTTGACCCAAAGGGGTTTGTTTTCAATTTTTTGTATATTTACGTTATACATACGTGATACGCCCCTCGTGTTACGAATTATCCCATCAGTGCGCGGGCTTACTAATTCTGTTGTATAATGTATAACCTGTAATTTACGTGTCAAACTACTTCGTTCTACCACTTTCGCACAAATACTTGATCTATTCTTTTTTTTGCAAGGTAAGAGTTCAGTTGGTAAAAATTATCGATGAAAATATATATGTTTACGATTTACATTCAATGCTTCATATCTGCAACAAAAAGCATTGCTTTTAATTTATTTATTATTTTTTTTTCTTTTTCTTTCATTTTTATCTCCAACAGTTCATGTTTATTTCCCTTTATTGTGTTCAAACAATTTAATAAATTTAACAGTAGCTTAGTTAGGAAAGTTTAGTTAGTTATATGTGTTAGTTATTGTAATTGTAAGTGATAGTTGTATTTAAAATTTTTTTTTCATTTAATACCTTAGTTTCTCTAATTGCAAGTGTCGTTGAAATTTTTTCTTAAAGCACACATGTTTAAACATTTAGCACCATTTATAATCATTTTATCTGTATATTACAAGAGGATTTTTATTCTTTACAATAAATTTTTAATAAATAACAATCTATAAGTTCTATCAATTAAATAAGCAAATTTTAATTTTGTTTAAAACAATTGTTCTATAATCCAATATATATAATTACACAAATATTTTGAAATAATTCCGAACTTTCAATATTAATAGTTCAATAAGACATTTATACTTATAATTATGAACTTATTATCGATATACTTAAAATTAAATTAACGCAATATAAATATTTAAAGTAATTTAATTTCTTTTTTTAACATAAGCTTGTATTATTTTTAATAAATTTATATTTTACAGCCAAATAATGCATCAAACATTTCTATGAGTAAGGAATTTTGCATCAATGGCAAATAGAAGAGATAAAGCATCAGCTGGCTTTGTAAGTAATTCTATATTATATTTTCTTTGAATATTATACAAATTTTAATTCAAAATATACATTTAATTTATTGTAATTAACTTTCAATTTATCATATAATTCAATGGCATTGATAGACAAGATTTTATATTTAGATTATTTATAATAGAATAAAAAAAGTATATTAAATTTTCTTATTGATACTGTTAAATAAAAGCTTCAAAGCTTTTATATCATTTCTAATCTGCTTATAATATTTTAGTAAAAAATATATATATATATATATATATATATAACGGTATAAATATAAATTTTAATGAACATACATAATTCACATTTTGAGCTATGTATTTCCATATAAAATTAATGTTTAATAGTACACTATTTGAACATACAATAGTGCCCTAGTTTAAATAATATTTTTAAAAACAATCGCTTGATTAATGATAGTAATGAATTTTAATTCAAATTTTTCTAATGTACTTACGTGAAAATGTTAAGTTTTAATAAATCTCACTGTTTTAATAGTGAATTGAGAACTACTTATGTTAGTAATGTATTAAATAATATATATATAAATGCACATTAAGTAATCCTCGATAATTAATTTGGAAATTCTTGATTGAGAAATAACTGCTTATCAAAGTAATCTATCCTATGCAAAAACTAAATTGTGACATTGTTCATAAAAATTCTTATTCAACATCTTTTCATAAATATGACATAATATGTAAAAAATTTGATAATGAAAAGTTTTTAATTTTGTCTACTAATCTCAAATAAAATATAACTCAATACAAAGTCATTTCATACGTTCTTTTTATGATAAATGAGAATTCTAATAAAATAATATTAATATAATAATATGATTAATTTATTATATTAAATGGTAATATATATTTTAAAAAGTTTCAATTTTTATTGCACAAAATAAATGCGTTTGCATGGTAATTATTTTTGTTTAACTTATTTTGCTTTTATTATATTGTTATGTGATAAAGAAAGAAAAAATTATCACGTACTGTTACCGACCGACAGATAAGATTGTTGTACTAAATGCTGATTTCAATGCAGAATTCACTTAATAAATTCAATTTAGTTATTAAACTTCCATTTGTAAATTTTTATTTCATGTACACGCATAGTTTATTAATTTTATACTATTACTCAATGAAAAAAAGAAAACAAACTTAGAAAAATATATTTTTCTTAATTTTCTACTATAATATTATATAATATTAACGATTATACGACTGTCAGCAATACAAATTATAAATATACGTTAAAATTATACAAAATCAATGATTAATGTTAATTAATGTAAGAACTGAATTTCAACAACAAATGATATATTATAATTTTACATAAAACATTTAATCTTTCGTTTATCTAAATTAAAGCACATAATTATATTCTGATTTAAACTAATTATTTGATTATTACTTAATATTTACATTAACGAGTTTTATGTTGCGGAGAGGATATTTAAATTTTTAATTAATCAAATTAATATAAATAAAAAAGAATGGCGTTACCAATTGGTTATTAGTTAAATTTTGTTCACTCATTCTTGGAAGTTTTTTCATTTGATATCTGCATTTTCTTTCAGTAAAAATATTTTTAACTGCACAATTTTTCACAAGTTCTAAAGCTTTGAATTTGAAACTTACCATTAGAGTTTTTAAAAAATTACCTGACTCATTAAATGCTTAATAAAAAGATTTTAATTTAGTAAAAATACAATTTCAGATATAAATAAAGTAAATGTGATTACAGTAAATCTTCGGCTAATAGCATATTTTTTAATCTAAATTATCTGAACGAATTAAAAAACTAACAAAAAATTAGATCTCAATTCATTCATGTAAATTGAAATTCGGAACAATTATTTATTAATAAACAAAAATAGTTGAAGAAAAGAGAGAGAGAGAGAGAGAGAGAGCGAGAGAGAGAGAGAGAGAGATAGGAAAGAGATTGGAATTCAATAAATACCATTACCTCTTTTCCAATATCCGTGTAAATATAAACGCGCGCACACTCGCAGAGCTGGGAAAAAATATAAAACTGTTCATCTATGCTACATCGTGACGTCACAAACTTTACCGGATGACCTCATAGATTTGCATTTTTTGTCCTGAGCTCACGCTCGCAACTCAAACTCCTTTACTTTTTTTCATTTGAATTTACGAATTACACTTGCTCGATTTCATACTAAGATAAAATTTATTATCTATACCGTGTAAACTCATTAAGTTGACATTCATGCTTTTCAGTTAATTAACCGAATGCCCATTGAATAGCCGTTACTCATTAATTGTATGTGTATTACATTCGATTTTAAATTTGAGTAAATGAAAGGTTATATCAGTGATTACATTAGTATGATAAAAGTGAATCGAAACTCATTTATCTATGCGTAAAGACATAAGAAACTTATCCTATGATTAAAACAGAATTAATTAAAATAATATAAGCTAGTGTGCGCGTATTTAAATAACAAAAGAAAAGAAAGAAAAGTAATTAAAGAAATTTACTAATTAAAATAAAGACTTGAATAATTTACTAATTTGATTTCATATTTTCATAACAGAATATCTTATTAAAACAAAAATTTTCTCCATATTATATTTATCAGCAAAAGATATTTACAATTTTAGTCATAATGCATTAAGTATTACATAGTTTCATATCTTGAAATGGATTAAATTTTTTAGTTATTGAAATTAGATTGAATTTATCAATATTGTAGATAAATAATAGTGATCTTGAAATACTGCAACTGACAGTTAAGGGTAAATGGAATTCAAGAAGTTAATACGTGTCAATAAGAGTTAAAGCGTTCTAATTATTAAAATAAAATTACCTTCAATGTACTTTAAAACTTCCAAATGAAGAAAGATTTAGGTTTATCAATATTGCTTCTACGAGTTAAGCAAATAACCAATGTTATTATATGAAATTAATAAAGCTTATAAATTTCCAATAAATAAATGTATTTATTTATGGCCTTCCAAAATCAATATAAAATATAGAAAAATTTTTTTAGTATTAGACAGTTATTATCTTGTTAAAAAAAAAAAAAGACAGTGTAGCTTTATTAAATAAAACACTCGAGTTTATTGTTGAACAAATAGCAGCATATTAATGATTGACGTATTGCGTATTAAGCTAGACGTTTTTCTATATTTTCATCAGTGTTGTAGCTTACTCAAATAAAGACATGTGAAATATAATTTTAACATTATATTTATTTCATTGTTTAAACTCAATCACGATATGTATAATATAAATATAAATATAAGTACTTAACTATGTATAAAAATGTTTCCATACTCTTATCGAACATTTCTATTATTAAATTGTGCATTATTAATAGAACGATGAGATTATTATAAATATCGCGTAATATACCTGTATACTTCATTTCTTTTATTAAACCTTTTTCCAAATGTACATTCAAGATTTAATATTTTAATATTTTATGAATATAGGCTTTGATTTGATATGCTTACAAAATAATGAAATATACACTTGAGAAATGCGTGTAGAAGAACCAACCTAACCGCAGCTCAAGAATTAGTAAAAAAAAAAAAAAAAAAAATTACGAACGATGTTGAGAATACGTTGATAATCTCATTAAGACAGAAAAATTAAATACTAAATAACATTTTTACAAATGTATAAAAAATAATATTTTAAAAAGACTTCCCTTTTAAGATACGTCATTACCATTGCAATATTCATTGTTCATACTGTTCATTAACGCATATAGACATTCCAATTTGAAGGAATTATTTTAAATCGCAACTACTGCGATCTCTCGTAATTGCATTTTATATACGTACACACACGCATACATTCATCTACCATTCATACATGTATATAAGCGCAATATCCCCAGCGTTTCATTAAAGCGCACTTGGCACTGCTACGTAGTCCCGATAATTATTGCCCCATTGACCAAATAAGTGTTGCAAGTGCTCGCTCGTTTGATCAAAAGGTGTAGTAACGGATTACTGTACGTCGATAGTATGACGATATAAGGATCTATTAGTATATTTAGTATATTATCCTCTCGTTCATGACAACAAGTACTCGATCGTACCTCGTCAATTTTTTGTTCCCGAATAATACATGTATACGGTGAAGAGCGTTCGAAGACTCATAAATTACTTGGCACTACGCGCAATGACAAAGACAAATCAAAAGATTTTATGCCCCCCTCCCTCCCACCCCGAATGGCAAAAGCATTGTGTAGGGTTGAGTAGCAAAAGGCTGAAGCTAGTGGGCAATCGTGGTGTGCGAATCGGATGAAGGAAGGGCCCGATCGGCAACTATCGGACCCTTGGCCCATTAAAAGTAGCGCAGCCACGGCAGAAGCAAGAAAATTGCTGATGTGCGAGGAATCGCGTGGAAATTGGAGCCTCGCGCGCCTCTCATCCGTTTCCAAGTCGTAGTCAAGGAGTCAAAAGGTGGCCGCGGCGCTCGTATTCCAATGGGATCCGAAGGAACGCGATACTCCAGTCCAGTCTACGTTTACCACCGCCGCTGCCGCCGCTTCTGCTGCGGCTGCTGCTGCTGCTGCCGTTACCTTTACGCGCGGACCCTTTTCCCCGAAGGTCGCCACTACCCCCTCCAGCGACACCTCCAACTCCAGCTCCTTCGTCGAGCAAGAGATACTCGACCTTTCCCGGCCAGTGTTATGTAAGACGCTCAGGAATGCGTCGCGCCCTCGCGGGAAGTACGCGAGGCGAGATCGGAGCGCCGATGTTTTGGGGATGTCGGCCGTTATCGAGCCTTTTGTAATATTATGCACGAGCCGAGTGAGAGGACAATACCGGCTCGATTAGTTGCCATTGTTATTCCTTATTTTTCACCCCGGGTTGGTCTCCTCGCGAATGGAGCAGCTGATTTGTAATTGGCTCGGTTTCAGCACAATTGACACAATGACAATTGTCATTAGCCAATGCGGATGAACTGTCATTGGTCCACGTTCGCGTTCCCGTGCATATGGTCGATGA